GTATTAAGAAGTGGACTATAGTTCCTTTAATTTTGCTGGCCTTGACTGTTCCTTCTACTTCTATGTTGAATAATGTAGTTGACAGGAATCGCATTGTCGCCCTCCTGTTTCTATTGCAATTGATTTTGTGCTTGCTTCTTCTGTTTTTACTTTAGCTCGAGCTTCATTCATGGTCATTTTTGTTAATCTGATTAATTTTGCTGTTTAATCTTGATTTATCATTTCAATAAATAATTTATTTCTTCCAATGCAGTCAGAGGCTTGCCTGAAGTCTACATAGAGGATGTGGAGTTTTATGTTGTATTCGTGGCATTTTTTGATTGTTTGTGTAACTAAACAAAGGAATTATACCAGCAAAAAAGGACATGTGACGATCAGGTTTCTCCTTAAGAGCTTCAATCATTTGTAATTCAACAGGGTCTGCTTTACGTTTTCTTGCCGTTGGCATTTTGGAAAATTTGTAAGCATGTGGAGTAGTTACATTGGCAGCGGTATTTTCTTTACAAATGTTGCTGTGGTGAAACTAGTGTCAGATGTTGCTGCTTCTGATATTTGATAAACCAGTGTTAGTTAAACTATCTTCTGTTTGGCGTTCCTCAAATACCTTTTTTAAGAATTGTAACTGCTCGTTATAAATATACTTTTTATGAGTTACTGCCCCAGCTCCCGATCTTGTAGCTATCTTAATTTTTTTACAAGATTTTTGAAACGTATCACGGATATTTCCCCATTTTTTCATCACCTGTTTACCTGCAACAACAAAAAAACCTGTTATTACTACTACAATATTTAGTACATATACTGTTTTTTGCAGATATCTCGCCAGTGGCTGTACTTTCACGGATCTACACTACAGTTATCGACTTGTTATTTCCACAATAAGCAGCATTGTTAAAAAGGTATGCAATATCAAATGATTAGTTATGCAGTCTGAGTGTATTCTCGAACGATAGAAACAAGATTAGCTCAGAATTCGCGAAGGATTTCAAAATAGAGCAAATCTTCCACACTGTTCAGGAGCAGTTGATGGAAAGCACATTCGAATTATTAATCCGATAGGTTCAATGTACTTCAATTATAAAGGGTACTCTTCAATAGTTTTAATGGCTGTAGCAGATTCCAATTATCGTTTTATCTACGTAGATATTGGAAGTTACGGAAAAGATTGCGATTCGAATATATTTAAGACCTGTTCCTTATGGAAATCCATAAATCACAAGGAACTAGAAATTTCTGAAGAAACATATCTATCAGAATCAATAAGGCCTAAAGTACCCTATGTATTTATTGCAGACGAAGCATTTGCACTTGATAGACATCTTCTTAGACTTTACGGTGGACATAACTTAACGACCAAGAAAAAGTTTTTTATTGTCGCCTCTCTAGAGCCCGAAGATATGTGGAGTGTACTTTTGGGATATTAAGTAATAAGTGGCGAATTTTTCATCGACCTATCAACTTGAATCCTAATTATGCTGTCGATATTGTGAAGGTTTGTGTTGTGTTACATAACTTTGTTCGCGATAGAGACTGATATGAATCAGAGAATACTTTAACCATCACGGGGCTTGAAGATATCCCTAGAGCAGAAACTGTACATAGGAGTATTAACGCAAATAACATAAGAAATATTGTAAGTGATTATTTTCTGACACCTATTGGATCTGTAAAATGGCAGATGACCAAAATTTCTTGTTAGTATATAAGTAATATATGCATACACATATATGTTTTTACTTTCGTATTTAATTAAGCAATAATAAAGAAATATCCACACAAACTTACAGAACTTGGTCTTGCCATCAGATTCCAACTCCTCAAAGTTATTCTTCAGTTCCCTACAAATTTCTTGCCAAACACGTCCGGTTTCATTTCTGCCTTTGTATGTTTCGCTTGTCTTGGTTCATATTACAGGTCTTCCATGCACCAAACTTATTAAATGCTCTGTGTCAATTTCCGCATCAGCCAGTTTTTATAAGTTAATTACAACAAAAATTCCTTCTACTTTCTAAAAGTCTAATAATCTTCTACTTTCAAGGAAGTCCTATACTCTATTAAACGGATTTTTGCAAAGAATCCATAGATTCTGATTGAACGCCCACATTTAATTTCATATCCCTCTACGTGCTCGATCGCCGTGTATACGTCATCGTTTATCTGGGCTTACCCGGACTTATAGAGAGTATGTCCGGTGACATCACGGTTCCTGGTTACCGTTTAAACGCTTTTTTTTTCGACAATATAGCATTATCGCACTAACACTTTCTCCTCATAGAAATTACCGTTGCAGTCACTTGACAGATGATTTTTAGACAAAACAGTTTTATACCAACAAATGTGAAAAATGGCTAACGAATCATCTAGAGTGGGTAATTACGGTTTACCATATTGCTTCAATATTTGCACCTGCATATTTTAAAGCTGTTATTATAACGAATGTGTTTGAAGGTTTCAAAGTAACGAAGGTGTGTTTCTTTAATATCTACATATTCACTAAAGTTGGCATTATGGCCACTTTTGCTACAAAACAAAAATAATACTGCTTCAGCTACAGTAACTACGAAAGTAAAAGTGTTTAACATACAATCAGAAGTTGCTGATAACTCTACGTCTGAAGTCGATATTCAACTAAATCAAACATCTACATCATTCTCTAAAAATGCTTCCCACGCTTTGGGCAGTCCAACTATTGTTCTTGAGAATTCCACTATAAAGATAAATATTGATGTCAAATATCTACATCTTAACCCGTTTGTAAAATAATGATTTTACAGATTGAATATTAAAAAAATTAAATACAACTCAGCTTACAGATCTGATTTCCAACACATGTGCAATCATTTCAAGTTTGAAAGAAAAAGTTGCTGTAGCGCCAGAAACCAAAACATTTGATTTATCTAACACTCCTGAAATATAATTAATTTATATTAAATTAACAACCATCTCTTAGTTACCTAAATCAATTGCGGTTAGATCAGCAACTTAGATGTTGCTGATAACCTAGCACTACCATACGCGCTTCTAGCAAAAGTTTAAAAAGGAAATCGGATGTGAAGCTTAGATCGACAGAAAAAAAAAACAGCAAAACTGTAAAAGATGTTTTCACAAAGTCACAAGTAACGCCTCATAAGTAAATCTGGAGCTGTCCAGGAATCAACGAAATATTTCAACCTATCACAGAAAACAGTTGAGTGGATTGAGTGCACACTTACTGCGGAGTATTACAATCCTAAATACGTATTTTTAAAAAGTTATATAAGACAGCGCAAACGCACTTTTTTATTTAAATAATAACGGTATAACGTTATAAACGTCACATCTCTATTAATTTATATTTAAATAATTATTTTCTTTTAATTTCCCAAGTAATTTGTTAATTTCTCTATCTTCAGTTTAATTTTTACTATTTTTTATTTAAAAAGAAGTTGGCGCCCCCTATTTTTCTTCTCTTCCCCAGTCTTTTCTCTCTCTCTCATTCTGTCCCGTGGAATAAATATTCACCATATCTCTCTTTCTGTCCGGTAGACCAAATATTCTGTTCTGTGTTGACAGACAAGCTAATATCATAATATAGCAACATCCTGTGACATCTGTGCTAACTTCATTCAGTTCCCCTACTTTCTGTCAAGTCAATTTTTCTAACGTAGTGGGAATATAATTTTATGCCTACTTTTGAAATTTATAAAAGAAGGCAAACATTATTATAAGACTCATAGCAGTTCATTGTTTCTATAAAGCAATTAAATACAAAAGCGAGTAGTTGAAGTAGCGAGTCCAGTCCATACTTTAAAACTTCAGTAAGAAGATTAGTAGGTCCAAAAGCTTGTCCATTCTTTTTAGTCATTAGGATCGTTAACAATAATTACTAATAACAAAAAAATTTATATGTTTTTTTTGTCAAAAATTGTATTAGAATTACATAACCAAAAATTATAATCTCATTTTAATCGTTTTCTGTATATTTTTATAATATTTTTGTTAAGCATAATAATATAAAAATATTCCTAAGCCAGTCCTGACTACGCGACGTATTCGACAGGGCGCCTAGCACCGTGGCATTTGACAGCTGCCGAAGAAATTAGTAAGTCGACCGGCGAGAATCTTAGAGCCTTAGAGACGTAATTCAATACATGGGGCATCCATACCGAAAATTCAAACTTATAACAATATTGAGAACTTGCTGGAAATTGGACAACTTCAAAACTTTATTAATATAATACAAGGATAGGAATTTAAACGAAAAAAGGACGGATGTCGAGTTTAAAACTATATTTCTGCCGAAAAGTTGGTTGTAGTTTTTGATAATTTCCAAAAGTCACAACTATTTAAATTGATTTTTCAGTTGGTATTTGCTTTAGGTGCATATGACATGTTAAATAACTTTACCAAGAGTCACACACACATCCACACACAGATATACAAAATTAAGTAAAACATTCACTATTCTTTTTTCAAATATAAATAAGGCGCTATGATGAAGAAAATAAAAATATTTTAATTTTTTGTGGTATTTTTCATCGGCTTTATTATTGGTAATTAAACAGAATATAAAAGTAGAAGTACTTTTTTATATTCGACCTGTATAAAGAAATTCTTTTTTGATTATGGATTAGGTAACAATAGTAAAATTAGATTAAAAATATGTAATTAAACACCAAAAATAGCATCCCAAATTCTAGCCTTCATAGGTTGGAATAAAAGGCTAACAAAATTTATTTTTTGGACTTAATCAGTTATTAACAAATTAAATTCAAAAATGGCCAATTTTTGCTTATTTCGTCATCAGCCAAAAGTAAACTATTTAAAACAAATTTGAGAGTAACAAACTCATAAGGAATTACTGTTTTAATGGGTATAAGATGCAGTTGAAAGCTAAAGAAGCTTAATGACGTTTCAATTTTTCAAAAGAAATTAAATCAACTAGCTAACTGCTTTAATAACGCTTCTATTTTATATTAACTATATATACGATAGACTTGCATTCCAGAGATGTCGCAAAAATGATTGTGATGAAAATCGAGAACGCACAAACATTTCAGTGGCAAAGTCAACTGGGGCATAAATGGAATGGGACAAGAGAAGACTGTTTTGCTAATATTTGTGATGCTACGTTTAGATATTCTTATGAATATTTGGAAAATACGCCAAGATTAGTGATTACACCTTTAACTGACAGTTGCTATATCACTTTACTTCACTTTACTATGGGTAGAGTACCAGCAAGACCTGCTGGTACTGGAAAAACGAAAACAACAAAGGATCTCGAAAAAACTCTTGGTAAAGATGGTCTACGTGGTGAACTGTTCTGAACAGATCGATTATAAATCGATTGGAAATATTTACAAAGGTTTATCTTAAACGGGATGCTGGGGTTATTTCGACGAATTTAACAGAATATCCATTAAAGTATTATCCGTCATTGCAGTTCAAGTCAAAATCATATGCAATCAGGATGCCATTAAAGACAAAAAGAAAACATTTTTTTCTTGGGATCAGAAATAGTGTTGGTTCCTACAATTGGATTATTTAATTAAAAAAAATTTAAACGTTAGTAAACTTACTTTAACCTTTAGTTGTTGTTATTTCTCATTAAAATAGTAATTACTATAAAATTTTAAAAAACATAGCTTCACAACAATATTAACAATATTAAGAAACTTGTAAGTCATCTAAAAATCTTAAAAATGCCGTTTTTTAAATGTTTTTGTTTTTATGTGTTGCTTAAAAAATTGCAAAGTATGTCAGCAATTTTGGTTTTTTATAAATTTTAATAACTTTTTTAAAAATAAACTTATAATCTTCATATTATTCGGAATGTTAGTTCTTATAGTGCTTAAACTACTATTAAAACTTCAAAGTGATCGGTAAAATTTTTTAAAAGTTTATTTTTCCCAAATTTAAATTTTTCGCAACTATATAAGTTGAACAATAATAAAGTTACAGTAATTTTACGCTTATGAAAGATGAAGATTAAATTTATCAACATAATTAACTCTCCGTTAATCGCTATCGGTCTCACACACCAACGACAGAATTATTCATTCGACACTTACAAATAACTGTTATTTTTCTATCGCCTTCTGTACCTCTTCCTTTCGTTTTGTAGTACATTCTTAACTACCTAGGTACATTTGTGCGCAGGCCCGTTCCTAGGGTAGTGAGCGCCTGCGTGCAGGATTTTTTGTGCGCCCCCATATTATGTTTTTAAGATACCTATATCATAACATGTTCTTGTGATATGATTGAAAATATGATATGAATGTAGAAAGAAAAATAAAACGAACCATGTTTGAAAAAAGGTTTTGTTTTCAAAATTAAATGAAGGAAAAAGGTCATTTTAAAACAATATTATTATGTAAGTTAACAGTAAGAAAGAAAACACTCAATTCGCAAATTAATAAGGCATTCTGGAATATAACATGAAACAATAACGGAAAGGAGATACTCTCAATGCAAAAAAACTTTATTAAATAATACATATATACCAAGTGAAAAATAAAACAAATATTGAAATTACAAAATGACACGTCGTGCTTTCACAGATGCAAGCTCATTAATCATTTCATTGTGATCAATGGCTTCACAAATTTTATTTTCAATTGAAATGACTGCCAAATCTGATAGCCTTTCTTGGCACATTGACGTTCTTAAATAATTTTTTATGAGCTTTAGCTTTGAAAAACTCCTTTCGCCGGATGCCACCGAAATTGGAAGGGTCAGGAATATTCTCAAGTCTATAAATAGATTCGGAAACAAGGATTGTAAATTTTTCTTTGTTATATAATTTAAAACATCTATGGGCGAATCCGAAATTTTGCCAGAGTCTGTGATAGGGTTAAGAACTTTGTATGACAGAATTTCATTATGCAAATCAAGACCATCAATATCTTTGCATACGTTTCCTTCATGTTGAATTTGTAAAGCTAAATCCAAATCCATACATGATCTTTTAATCACATCAGAATCTAGATTTTGAAAATTACCCAAAAATCCAAATAAATCGTGGCACTTATCTATTCCCTCAAAGCGTCTTTGTAGGGATTGAATTGTTGTGTCCAAAATTTGAAAATAAAAACTGATCTTAAATTTTTGTTTTGGATCGAATACTGTTTCATCTGTACCTTCATACGAAAATTGAAGCTTCGTCTTTCTTTGTCTTAATAATGGAAATGTTTGTTCTACATCACTTTTTTCTGCTTCTGCTACAGCCTCATTCATGAAACTCTCGAAATGTTTGTCTGACCTTTTTTCAGTGAAATAAATAATAAGATTTTTTATTTCTTTATGGCATTCATTTAAAGTTGTATTTGGATTCTGGACCATTTTACTTACTATATTAATTTTTGTTAACACATCATGCCAAATTATAATAGAAAAAATGAATTTGAACGTTTTAGTTTTGTCTAATAGTGACCTTGCTGAGTGTTTCGTGTTCATATCTCTTGAATTATCTTCCACCAAATCATGTAAACTTTTACAAATTTCGAGGAATTGAAACCTAAGAGGGCGAATGGCTTTGACTCTGCTTTCCCATCGTGTTTCACTTACTGATTTTAAAGTTAAGTTTGGTACATTTCTTTTTAAAATGTCCCATCTGTAGGGTGAAGTAGAAAAAAAATTGAACAACTCCTGAATAATTGAAAAAAAAACCTACAGTCTCATATGAAATTTTAGCTGCATCATTGACACTTAAATTAATAATGTGAGCTGAACAAGGCAAAAACATTGCTCTGGGATTAATTTTTAGAATTTGAGCTTGAAGGTCCACATGCTTGCCAGACATATTTGCCCCATTGTCGTAACCCTGACCTCTCATGTCATCAAGGTTTATTTCAAATTTTGATAATATTTCTTCTTTTAAAAAATTGAAGAGCCCTTCTCCTGTAGTATTTAAAACTTTGAAAAAACCCAGAAAGTGTTCTCTAATTTCGACTTCATATGGAGAACAATAAACGAAGCGAATTATGACCGTCAGCTGCTCAACATGGCTAGCATCTGGAGATTCATCCAAAATAATTGAGTAATATTTTGCTGTTCTGAGGCAACTCAGAATTTCTTTCTGAATATTTCTTGACAATAAATGAATTAATTCATTTTGGAAGTGATTGCTCAGGTAATGAGGCATATTTTGGCACAACTCTTTAGACCTTCGAATATTGCTCATGTGTTCCATCATAATTGGATCGAATTTAGCAATCACTTCAACTAACTTCAAAAAATTGACATTATTAGTCTCATAATGATTCGTACTGTCACCCCTAAAAACTAAATTTGGCCAGCTAAATACTGCACAATACAAATCATTCTTTTAATGATTTCACGCCATCGCTGTTTTTCAATTTCATAATATTTTTGTTGCTCTTTATCAATAGTACATTCTTTACTCAAACGCAATTTTAACTCGTGCCATTTTTGAGCGCTTTTCATATGTTCCATGCCATTTTCATGACGAGAAATATTAATAGAAAGGTGCCTCCAGTTAAAATAGCCGGTAGTTAATTTATGAGACAATGTGCTAAAAAGTTTACAGAAAATGCAGAATACGGCATTAATTTTTTTAGAATACACCAACCAGTCCCTCTTTACTTTTTCGCCGTTTGGCAACTTTCTTAAATATTGCGTGGATGAGAATTTTCTACCAGTTTCATCAACAGGAAAGTTTTCCATGATTTGAACAGCGCCTTTTGTCACGATTGATTGAATTAAATGATGATTTAATTGATTCGGCCATGTAGAGGGATCAGTAATATCAATATCGGCAAGGTCTGCAGCACTTTCTCTATCTTCATTTACCGGGTTACTTAGCTGAGACTGTGAAGGGAGTAGCATAAGCGTTTCAGAGGTGGATTGTTGTTGATCGTCAATAACCATTGGCTCTGCAACCAGCTGCTCTTCAGAAATTTGTTTTAGAAATTTGTTCAGCGATCCACTAAGTTTTTCACGCTGCGCCTCCATTTGCAGTCGGCGTTTTCTATTTTCGGCCCCTGATAATTTTTTCCTACCAAACTCGCTCATTTCAGCCGATTCTGAAGAGAAAAAATACGGTATTACATACCGAGGTGGAAAATATTTCATTTTCTTCAAGAAATTAGTTAATTAAGAGTATTTTAAGACGAAGTTAACTTGAGTCTCGAGACAAAAATGAAATTTCCAGCGAGGTCCAAACTTACTACTATTTTATTTACAGTCATATTTTTTTAAAATAAAAATTAGAAAACGTTTTTTTCATATAAACTTTTTACCGGGGTCGAAAGTAAACAACCAATTTTCACCCGGGCAGAAATTAAACAGGTAATCAATTTTTATCTGAAAATCAGAACAGTCACAAAAGGTGAACTTTCCAACTCTCAAAAATGTCAGAAGTGATGTTTTACGTATATGGTTGTAAATAATAGTATATTATATACATTCACAATGTATAATATTATACACTGAGTTGAAGTGTTTAATTCTTATCAAGAGAAAAACATGGTTTACCGAGGCGCATAGCGTCGAGACAGGAATGAAACTTTTTCACCGAGGTTTGTATAGGTTGTACTGTTTTATTCAGAACCATATCTTCTAAATGCAAGTTTAAAAAATATCTAATAAAATGTAAACAAACATTTTGGTTATTCGTAGGATGTTAAAATTTACCTGGGTGGAAAATTAATGTCATACACTTTTCATCCGGGTAAATGTCACTTTCCTCCTGGATAGATTTTAAAACTAGAAATTTGGTTTTTCAAACTTTTATAAAAGGTCTTCAATGTCAACATAACATACATGCTTGTAAATAAACATTGATACTTAACTGACCCGAAGAATAACTTTAAGGTTCTTAAACTGTTATTTAATTTAAATTTTAGTACTTTACTTATTTATGTTTATTTTATTTAAATAAATAAGTTAACTTATTTTACTTAATTTTAGCAGTTTATTTGCCGCCTTAAACTTACAATTTACAATAAACTTGATGTATTTACAATAAACTTTAATGACAATGATATTGCGAACAGAACATCCTAACCTATAAGAAAAAATCTAACGACTGAATTAAAATGTTACGGTTTGCTGCGCAAACGACAATTTCGTCAGAGGCGGGCGCATCGCGCAGACAACCAGGAAGGCGGCAAGCCGGCAACACAAAACATTAAAAGTGTAAAAATACAATTGTAGAGTGGTAATTTAATTAGTAATTTTGGTATTATAATAGGGAATAGCAAACGGATGAAGTAATTACTTTAGCGCTTACCGGGGAAATACTGAACACTGACTTTTTTTGTTTTAGAAGAGAGAATATTTTTGTAATGGTAACCAAATATTTGGC